AATGGTAAAAAAGGAAAATAAACGAGCTGATTTAAGGTCTGCGCGTAGGTAAATTACTAGTAGAGTTTACTTTACTCGCAGAAGATAGAGTAAGATGGAATGACAAAAATGTCGCTCCATAAAATGCTCTTAATTGCCTTATTTAAGGTGAAGGAGCACTAAAATATTGACGAAAAAAATAATTTCTTCCTAATAAATGATTTATATAATCCTTTTGAACGATTCATATTAATTATAATAAATTGTATGTATACATTTTATAATATAAATCAATATGTATATATATATATATATATATATATAACGATAGACGTTGTTGATAATGAAAAAATCAATGAATTTAGTATAAAATTTAACAAAATTTTGAATAAAATATGTATTGTAATAATTACAATTAATTTTTAATAGACATAGCATATTTTAAATCTTCGGAATGTCTTTTTTGTTTAAAATAACGAGGATGAAAACATTTCGCCGTCTGGGCTCTTTACGACATACTTTAATCTACTCTATACAGTGGTGACATTTTTTTTTTATGTATGTTGACAGTTATTATTTGGGACATTATTTAGAATTTTAAAAATTTTTCTTGAAAATATATTTTCAAATGTATAATTATTTATAGCTGTGCAATGACATTTATTATTTTTGGCCAACTTATTATTTACTTTTTTTTTTTAAGTAGTTATTTAAAATTTGAATTTAAGTATATGTTAAACAAGTTTCAAACAGCTAGTTTAAACTTTTCTTACTCTATTTTTTTTTTTATTTTTTATTGTTGTTTTTTTTTTTATTATTACAATTTACTAATTGGAAACATAAATTTGAAAAATTACTGTTATTCTAAGTTATTCTGTTTAACCGAAATAATTAGTGAAATATTTTTCTTTTCTGTCTCCACAATATTATTTTAAATATATTTATTATTAATGGATAAATTATACAATTTTGAGATCATATTTTACTTTAACCTGCACTGTTAATATGTCAAATAAAATATTATTTAGTTTATTATATTTCTGATAATCAGCAGATTAATAAATAATTTTTTACAACTTCATACAATGTGCCAACTTGAACAATATACTTTTATTCTAAGAGCACGTGAAAATTATGAAAGTAAAAATGACTGTATAATTTAATATAAAAGTTTTATTATTAAAAATTACAGCTAATACCATTGTGTTTAAGGTCATGTGATAAAATTGCAATATATTTTTAATTTATTTAAGAAGTGAAAAAATTATGCACGTGTCTGTTGTTATTATTATTATTATTATTATTATTATTATTATTATTAACATTACTATTAGTGATCGTAATATTAAAATTAAACTTTTGATTAAGAATAATGGGAGATTACAGGAGCATCACTTAAATTTTACTATAAATGAAATCAGTAGCATTGGTTATAATGTAATTAAATTCAAATAACAATCTATGAAATTCTGAAACTTCCTTGAGTTCTAATCTGACCATCAAAAAGGATATGTCTTTTCGGAACATGATTTTCTCGCCATTTTCTTCGATCTATTTGTATCAATGATAAATAATATGTCCTTTTCCTTGTTTGTAATTTTAAGCTACTCAGATCATTCATAATTTCAAAATATTATAGAGTCAGTGATAAAAATTCTTACTAAAACAGAATTTTAATTCAAATTTACATTTTATTACAGTTTATAAAATTTATTTCCAATACAAGAAATATAAATAATTATTCGTCAGTATAAAATTAAAGTAACTCGTATTTAAATGGCTACGAGGAAGATAAAATTAAAAAATATTAAATTAATTTTCGTGTACCACCAAGTCACTTGATAGATGTCAAAAATTCGTGTCCTACTTATAAGCTTCTGTTTAAGTAGCAAAACTTTTGCGTGTAAATCAACTTTGTAATTAATTTTCACATGTACTTGCGTGTATGTATATGGTTTATGATTTTATTAAAGGACACCGACAACGAGGATTGTCAAGTTATTATTAATTCTGACGATTTCTTCTGTGTTTACTAACTGTAATAAAAATTAGTAGGCAAATAAAATAAGTAAGGGGGGGGGGGGTAGAAAGTTCAAAAAAGTAAGAAGTGAATATGTAAGAAGGTCAAGACAAATTCATCCTGTTACATATTAAAATGCAATAGATCGATCATGTGAATATTGTTACAGGCAGACGTTAAAAATTTCAATTATTAACCTTATACTCTTAAGTCAAATTTCCAAAAATCTCAGATAAATCCTGAACAACGTCAATATACCGACCATTTCTCCACATCTTTTTCCCTTTTTATTTCAACGGTAGATAAAATGCTGGGACAATGTCGAGACTGATTGCGGGCCGTTCAGGCGAAAACACGAACCGAAAATAAAATGAAACGTCGGCGGAAGCTCGCAAGTTCTGCAAGCTTTTCTATTCGACCCTTGGGATATGGAAAAGGCCGAGAGAAGGAATGCACGGGCCACCTGATGAACATTGATGAGCCAACGAGTCGTTTGATTTCTATGAGTCAGATAAACTGAAAGAAAACGGGAATGACGATTGCGTTACACGATAATAAGATCAATCTAAACATCCATCCTTTTTTTACAATAAAAATCACGTAGATGCTGTATGCCTAAAAAAATACAAATAAGATGTAGACTGAATCGGACGGGAAGAGATGGAAGGGAGAGAAATAACGTGAATGAGATGACTAGAGGTGAAAAGAGCTTGTAGGAGAAGAGATAAAAAAAATAATAAAATAGATAAAAATGGAATACGTAGATTTCAATAAGCATGCACATATTTCATCAATGGATCATCAAATAATGATGTTATATAAAATAATGGATTTTCAGGAGTTATTTTGCAAAATCATGTTATAAAAATTAAATTAAATTATTAACTTTATTTTATAGCCTATGAAGAGTATATAAGTTAATTTTTACCTTTACTTTGCGAATTTCATTAAAATAGCAAATTATCTTATTATTTTATGTTTTTATTTATCAAATATTTAATTTAATATGGTATTTTTAATATAATATGTAGATTCAATTATTATGGAACGTATAGAGCATCAAATTTCGAGACAGATATATTCACTGGATAACACTCCTTAAATGTTTTATATTTATATATTTCAAACAAAATAGCACGAATTTTAGAAATGAAAAATTTGTAACAGCGTTGAAAAAAAAATGGATATTTTATAAATTGTATTTCATTATAATTGAATAAAACGTCTAATTTATTTAATTATATAATATTTCTATTAATAGATAAATTTTCTGGAAAGACTTAAGTTTCTATAGGAATATAGGACAAAATTTAATTGCTAGTTAAGAAAGTATTTAGGCTTTTATCCAAATGGTTTGCATTTAATAGATTTTTCACACTGTGTAGTGAAAGCAAACTTGCGAATAAGAAAGATATCGACATAAATTTGTCAGTCAGTATAAAATCTCAAAACTTTAGAAATCCTGCAGCTGTTTGGCAAACCTCAAAGAAAAAAAACATTATGGAATTGCATACTTTAAATTCAACAGTGAATTAAATTATTTTGACTATTACATATTCATCATTACTCAAAGTTATCGAATATTCTCATTAATTGTTATTATCAATAGATTTTGGTTTCAAAATATTGTGTAAATATTTAATAAAAGGTGTGTTTCAAGTCAGATATCAAACGACTGCTGGACATCAAATAAAGTTGTTTTTATAACTAATCTAAGTTGATTGTATATTTCATAATAATCGTGCATTTAAAAAATTAATCCATATATTTTTACTTTTATGTAATATACGTATATATAATACGTGTATGTGTGTATATGCCAATGTGTACTTTATTCTTTTCAATAGTTTTGGTTCCCGATCACATCCCATATCCGAATATCTATCGTTTTAGTCCTGTCCGCAGCGATCTAAACTTCTCATTTTCTCCTTTTCCTTCACTGCCCCCCTCCACCTCCTCGCTTGGCTGTTCGCTCGCTCTCACTCTCTTTCTCTCTCACTCTTTGTCTCCCTGTAGCCTTTCCACTCTTCTTTTCTCTTTACGAGCCCACGCATTGTAATTCCAACTGAACAGTTTCGCTAGGGGCAAGTCCGTACGTGCCAGGCATGTCAAATTCGACACATAAAACTGCGGGAAGACAGTTACACACTGACTTGGCTAACGTATCACTAGTACGTGTAGCCGTATTACTACTGCTACTGATGTTATTGGCATTATTGTAGAAGAAGAGAAAGCTCGAGAGTAAGCGCGAGACAGTCGTAAATAATCGCGCAGAACTCCACTGATGATTAAAGAAATACTATCTCTCTGAGCGTCCGTTTTTGTATTTGTGTACACACAGAAATAGGTTGAATTATATTTTAGAAGCTGATAAATTCGTAAAGATTTATTTTAAAAGGGCCATCATTGACCTCTTACGAATCGAGCTTTATTCACATTATTACTTTCTAAAATTACTAATATTAAGAAAATTCGGAATTTCATTGAATTATTAAGCTGATTTTCATCTTATGTAATTCCAATAGTTGTACATTACATTAGGAAATGAATGATATTATTTTAATATGTTATTATAATATTATATTCCAATGTGTGTGTGTGTGTGTGTGTGTGTGTGTGTGTGTGTGTGTGTGTGTGTGTGTGTACCATGCTTCTATATACAAAAAAAAATATATATATATTTTAACATTTTAATATGTTCTATTATATTACATGTGGTATTACTTTATGAAATATACTTACACGTTGCGATTAATAAGCAATCGTTAACTAAAGTCCCAATGATTTTTACCCAATGATTTGAAAAATGCGTGCTCGTGTAAATATATATATATATATATATATATATATATATATATATATATATATATAGCATTGCCATTCCATTAAATTAATTAGGATCTTAGATAAATCGGCCATCATGCATTATGTAACAATTATTATTTTTTCAAGCGCATGCAAAGCGTCAAGAATTAAGAATTACGATAGCAGTTGGACTCACAATTAAAGTACAACAGGATGCCAGCGATGAGCACGAATATCACCACCAGCAGTACGAGCAGCAGCATCAAAACTGTTGGTCGACACCACGGACTTCCACTCATATTCGTATGGCCAGCTTCTTTCGCTCTCTTCTGATCGATAACACTAGACTCTCCACTAGCATTCACAACAACACCCTTGTATGTGTACTGCGGAGTGGTCTTCTTGTCGGAGAGGAAGCCGTGGTCGTCCTCGGGATCGGAGTAGACACCGTAAGCCTCGAAGTTGTTCTTCCGGTAGCCGTTCATTTTCTCTTGCGCGTTGCATCCACCTTCTACATTATCCGGATTCTTCCTCGAGTAGCCACCGAGCGTCCCAGAAGGACTCTCTCCGATTTTTAGCGTCTGCTCGTAGGACTTGCTGGTCCCGTCGGCTGAACCCCCGTATCGCGAGGACCCCGCCGAGCTCTCGTACTTGGCTCTCTCGTAGCTCTTTGACGTTGTTAGCTCATACTTAATGCCCTCGTACACTTTGGCTCGGCCGGTGCTAGTCTCGTAACCGCTACCTAAGCCAGCTGATAAATTCGAGGCCGCGCCGCGCTCGTATTCGCTGTCGTATTTAGCGCCCGCAGCCTCGTAACGAGGCAACGTACCGTACATTTTACCACCAGCCGAATGGTACTTGCCGTTCGCGTCATATCCCCGGCTAATCGAGTCCTTTTGCCCGGCGAGGTCGTAGGCTTGATCGTGATTGTTGGTCTTTACCCCCGACTCGTAGCCCTTGGTCGTTGGCAGCTCGTACGTCACTTTGGTATTGGGCTTCTTAGATTCAAGCTTGAGCGTCTCCTCGGCGTATCGGGCGTAATCGTATTCGCTCATATCACGGGAATAACGTCTGCTAGCATCCTGAACGTGATCCGTATTGTAAGTCTTGCCGATCTTGGACGAGTCGCTTCTCTCGTACGGAGCATCGAGATCGGATTCTTGATATGTACACTCGATTCTTCCTCTCTCGTACCTCAGACTGCCCTCCTCCGGGTATATTCTATTGTCATAGCGTTCGAGATTGTCACGATCGAAGCTCGCGGTCTTGCGATCGTAAGTTCCGCCGCCGCGTACCGTATGATAGCCGCGCTCCAGGTAACCACTCTCGGCGACCCCGTAGTTCAGGGAGGAAGACGGCATTCCCGCAGCATCTTGATGATAGATGGATTTAACGGGAATGCCGGCGGCTACGGCTGCTGCAGCGTTGCTCGTATCATAATCCGCGAGATAACGGGAGGACCTGCGCTCGCTACCATAGTCCATTGAGCCCTCGACGACGTTCGGCAACTTGCTATTCAAGTTTTCGCCTAGCGTGTGCTGGTGGCAATTTGAGCCCACGGCCTCGGCATGTTCCACTACGAGATTTGGGAGACGGGACGTATTGAGAGAGCTATCTGGTGTGTTCTCGGTAAGATCCAGCCTCAGGCCTGTGCTGTTGGTTCTGCGCATCTTCCACTATTAGCATGATCGCTGACTCTGCTTGGTTTTAATTTAATGCCGCGATCTGTCCGCACTCTTGTTATTCTTAATGTTTCTGCTTGAAAGCGAAGAAGAGCAGTTCTCGATTGTTAATGGTGCTGATAAATTATTTGCATGAATTTTTGTCGTGAAAGGCAATAGAGAGGTTAGTTGGTTGATTGCTCGCTTGTTAATTAAGAGTGTTAGGTGTTAGTAGACGGTGTGTTAGAGAGCGTCGCTGATTCTGGAAGGAAGGAAAATGAGAGATTTTTGTTAGTTAATTAATTTTTGTTAGTTAATTGATTTTTTTTTTTTTATATATAATTCAATGGAATAATTAGTCAAATTTAGGAATGATTAATACAAATTTCTTCAGACAGAATGGTTTGTTATTGTATTATTGGAATGGCCATTTGATTGTAGATAAAATTTTAGATATAATGTTAATAGACGAGTGCATATTCTCTCGTCAATAACGATTAATTTACATAAAATTAAATATATAAAATCCTTAATGAATTATCTTATAATTACCAAGTATATCTCTAATTTAGTATCGAAATAATAATTATTATCTTCCTGAACTATTGTAATAAAACGATATTTTAAAATTCAAACTTAAATGCTCTTATCGTACTGAGTAATATTGCTTTATTTCGTAAATGATTGAGTAAAGAACATATTAAAAATTTTCTTTGGTGCTAAAAAAAAAAAAAAAATGAATAAATGCACTTTCTTAAAACTGCTAGTTATTTTATTATATTTATTATATATACATTCTTTAAAATCATTTAAAAGCCGAAATGCTAATCAAATAAAGTGAAGTTGATGTAAAATTGAATAAAACCATTAGATTGCTAATACATAGAGAAAAAACGAAATGGACGTTTTTTTTATTTTGTATAGTAGTTGAAAAATTTCTGCATATATTAAAATAATATTACACTACTAGTTATCACAGAGGATTTGTACAATATAAAATGTATTAAATATATAATGTATATCAAATTTTTTTTTTTGAGACAATTTTTTTTAGACAAATGTGTATAAATTAATTTATTTCTTATATAATAATGGTCGTTCCAAAGCGATTATTATTGACTTTCGATACGTAGTTCAGCGTGTTGATTTTAAGAATAATATTATATTTAAATGTAAAAATACTTCGATGTACTTTATCGCTTCATTGCCATCGGTCCAAATAAAAATATTAAAATAAAAAAAAAATACTTTATTGAACTCCTTTGCTTTTTAAATTATGTTTTATAAAATTCATTAAGTATTTTTTCAAGGTTATATACTGCATTTATAACTTGGTGGGGTAATTGTTGATAAGTAAATTGATTGCTTTAATCGTCATTTGATACAGATGTGCCTAATAATTATTTTCTGCCAGCATTAATCATGTATGTGTTGTTTTCAAAAAGATCCTCCAATACTTAGAATTTATGCAATCCATTTGACATAAATGCAATATAAGATTAATAAATTTTTAAGTTATTTTTGATAGTGTATTTATTTTGAAAATGAAATTAAGCGAATAATAATGCCACTGACAACTAACAAGTAAATATACATGTGTACCCCGACATAAAATAAATACTTATAAATCAAATAAATTAACAATTTTATATCAATACAAGGATATAAGGATGTGTGTGTGTGTGTGTGTGTTCGTATATCATAAAACATAATATGGAAATTGGAAAAATTCTTTTAGAAAAATTGGGAAATTAAGATTTATACTTTCTGTCAGATAAACTGATATTACGCATATAATACGAGGGAAATTTTCTGTTGTTCGACATACAAAACAACAAGTAAAAAGAGATATACGCAATAAAAGTATGACTTCAAAGGAGATCGCTGTTCCACATGCAAATATGATTAGTTCCGGACTGTAACTTCATTTGCGTACATTATAAGTGCACATAGGACACTTTATGTAAACGACGAGCACGAGAGTTTCGTGGGAGAAAGACGATGGCGCTGGCAATGGGAGGGGCGGAAGGGAGGAAGGTGACGATGATGGAGGTCCTACGTGCTTCTCGTCCGGTTGACGTCTCAAGGAAAAATGTTTTGCGTAAGATTACGACGATAAGCGAGGGAGTTTTATTCACGTAAGAGCATAGTCACGCGGTTGTGTCGAGGATGATTTTAATTTCAAAATAAATTGTTGGACAATTATGGAGTGCTTAATTATATCATTTACTCGGGCGTATAAATTAACACGTTAGTGATTAGATCTATTTTTGATATATTAATTAAGGCTTGAATGTGAATATGATTGTTCATTTTTGTAGCAAATAAATGATGATTGATGATATAATCAAGATATTCAGCCTTCAGCCTACTAACTAAATGAATATAGTTGAATGCTAACATTTTCTTCTTTTATTCTTAAACTTTAGGCATTCATCTTGAAAATTTAAATCTATTTCAAAAGTTATACGTACGTATTCATTAAACTTAATTAAGAAAAGCTACTTTTGTATTGCGTACATAAAACGCAATTTCACAATGTATATTATGGGATGAAATAAATATTTTATATATACACATTTATATGTATGCATGTACGTATAAAGACACAGACTCTTGAAATTTAACAATATTAGTTTCATATATAAATAGCAAACTTGAAATTTCTCAGAGCAATATAGTTGCAGGTTAAATTCATCAATTATGAAAGTTAGTTCGCCTATAACGCGAACAATAAAATTATGTAAAAGTTCAACGGCGGGGAGAATTTTATGAATAAGAATTTGCCTCGACCACACGCAATGTCATTGTCCAATTTCTTATCTAAGATTTGGCAGCGGCTGCCATCATCTAACAAAATACCACCGCAGATCGATTGCTAAACTATTTGCCGCGCAATAACCGAAGTTACAGGCCATGAAATTTGCCATCGCCTCGTCCCCAGAGCTCCTCAAGCAAATCCTCCGTCGATGACGGTCATCTCCTCGTAATCTCAAAATTTCAACATACTCATATTGCAGCTCCATGTTCTCATCGTCCCGTCTCATTTCTCGATCTCGATTCTCACGGCGCATTATAATTGATCGTCGGTATGTCGAGCGCCAATGATGCCGGAGTTCTTGTGGGAACGCAAACGGAGGATACGCTCGTTCCTTGCATCTCCCGATACTCTCCGGAGATCGATACGTTCGACTATTCCCGATGTCCCCCCGCTCCATTCAAGCGTATCCGAGGGTCTTGGGGGCGGGGAGGGCCTGCCCGAGGCATCGGGGCACGTGGTACGAAGCCACCGTCGACTGGCTTCTCGACTTCGAGCAACACCAACGGACGTGCCTTTCCCAGCTAGGTAATTTAATAATAGATGCTGCGGTTTTGCTACTAGTGCGTCCGTGTATACGCGTGTAGGTGAGTGCAGTGGGATAGATCGTTTTCGGGTAAATGTACTTGCCAATGCCAGGCGTAGCTTTTCTGAGGTGCCACCGCTGACGAATTAACCCATAAATATTTTATCCTCGGATATTTGATATTTGGAGCGCGAGCGATTCCGTAGCCGCGCGCTATCCCCCGTTCAATCACTATACTGATTATCTAAATCCTTTTGATGGGGGAAATTTTTATTTTTATTTCTAATTAATTATTACTGCCTGGCTTGAAGGTTTTCGGGGATAAATGAAGTATAAGCCTTTTAGCCGTGATGAAGGTTGTTGCCTCTATTATATCATAATCTTGTGGATGTTGAATTTGTTTTGGTGTACGGGAAAGGTTCGTTGCTCGTGTCAATCAATTGCAATCGTAGATATTACAGATAATCAAAGCTATCTATGTTAAAACTAGTGACTTAATCTAATTTGCACAAAGTTTCATCATAATTTTCAATATATACCGATAATACAGTTATTCATGTTTTTTTATAATTTTTATGTAGGCCAATTGTATAATGTATAAATTTTTTTCTCCCATCTATTAAAGTCGAAATTAAAATAAATACAGAAATTTTTTGTTAATTTGCTTTCTTACAATCATGCCAAAACTGAAAATAAGCCAAGTGCTTTCATTAAAGCTCTTATAAATATTGTAATAACTAAATTGATCAAAGCTTTTAATGCTATTACGTTTATAATATTAAATTTAAATTTAATATTTTTTAAAAAGTAAAACAGATAAAACTTGTAGACTGATTAAATGATAATATTATCAAATGTATTCTCATACATTTAATTTCATTAACAATATAAGCAAACAGTATTATTAATTAAATTTATAGTTAATTATTCATAGACGTATGAGCATTAGAGTATGCAAGATCATTTTCTCAACTGTGAATTATATTTTAAAGCATGTGAAAAATAATAATAACAACATTAATATTATATTGCATACAGCTACCACTAGCTTATATTCTATCTTCTTCTTTCCTTTACATATAATAAACGAAATCACCTCCATATTCCCATCCCTTTTACGGATTTAGATCGTCTGTTTAATTTATCCTTATCATTATTTATAGTATAATTTAAAAAAAAAAATTTCCTTTTAATTGTAATATTTTGGACCGCGAATAACTTAGCATTTAACGTTTACAAAAACTTGTGAATTATTTATATTTTTACAGCATAAAACTCGCATGACGGTTGCAATGCAAAATGCAAATGCCATTTCTTTTTTACCGCACCTTTGAATGCTTAGTTGGGAGCGTGCATGACTATAGCGTTCGTTGACCTCGTCATTCGCACATAAAATTGGTGTCGATTAGATAGTATAGAAAGTGATCAACAGGGAATTGTATTTTTGAAATTAGATTTTTGTTACAATTGCTTCATTTTCTTTTTATAATGAAAGTATAAGTGAAGCTCATCTATAACGATGTAAAATTTGTAACAAGTATTGATGTATGTATGTAAAGCATTTTATATTGAAAAATTTTATAAATAATATTACAAGTTGTTGATTAGCCTGTAAATATGACATTTTTCATTTTGTAATTGTAATAAAAATTATATACATTTATT